CAATACTCAAGCATGTTCTTGGTGGATGTACATGTTCAAAGGGCCCTTTCCAATTCAAATCAAATCCATGCCCATTTTGAGCTGTCTGCTCCTTCCCAGGGCTCTTCTCATCGGTGGCCGCGGCCTGTTGCCCCTGGGGAACAGTCCGCTGGCAGACAGGCGCGCGCGCCGGCCCGGGAAAAGGGGGGGGGGGGGTTGGCGGGGGGGGATGGGGAGTGGGGGGACCTATCATTTAGTTACGCCAGGCCTTACTACATACTCGTCCTAGGCTTATCCTAGGCTGATCCAGGGATGGCCCCCCGTGGAGGTCCATGCTTCTTCTCGTTTGACACTAGAAACAAACTCTGGGAGCTTTGCAAGAGTCGCTTCGTCTCTGTTGGAGGCGCTTTGATGCAGCGACGGGGCTTGGGAACGCACTTTCAGATGTTTGGGACTCCGTGAGCTTATCGTGAAAGGATGAGATAATTACTTGGCTTGGTGATATTAGTGTCGCTTCTGTTGGTTGCCCAATAACAATTGAGAAGCTAATAAGAATCTAGCAGCCGGACAGCCATTCAAAATTACTTCTGTTTGAATGTAGGGCGGCATCTTGTCCTGCATGTTGCTGTGCACTGGAAACGAGAAGGGCCGACGTGATACTTCATGCTTGCCTAGGTGCCGCATCGGGATCAAGCGTAGCTTTTTTTCCTGCTTTGTTCATAGGTGCGGGGAGTTGCGTACGTCGAAGTGGGCACTTGCAGCGCCACATGTTGTCCACTTTGAGTTGCATCTTTCGCCTTTGACTCTCTGAGAAAATGTGTCACTTCCTGAGTTCATGGACTTTATACTTTTTGGAAAGATCATGTTTGTGGTAAACAAACAGTTAGGCTTTTTCTGGCCAAATCACTCAGGAAGTGAGATGTGTAATCAACCAGCAAACAGCGAGATGTGTCTCGGGCAGGGGGCCGGCCACCTCGAAAGTGTTGATGTTTCCATGCCGACTGCTGAGCTCATTTTTTCAACCGTCCCTAGCACTCCAGCACTTCAAGAGGTAGCCAATTCACTCTTGGGGGGGGGGGGGGTAAAAATGATGGACCCATGTTTTTTGGGACGGCCTAGAACGGCGACCCAAAAATTCACACGGGCTTGTGGGGTTAGCCTTTGAAGTAGGCCAAGCGCATGTCCGCAGATTTCATCGAAAGACAGCGATGCATGACACAGGCTCACGTGGTGTTGTAGCTTGTCCTTTGTAGGACAAGCTTGATATACCTCCACTCTTCGGTGCCCATACATGGCTGTGGGTCAAAAATAGGTACCCAAAGTTGAACCCTGGTAAGTGGTAACATAGACTAAACCCTGCGGTCCCCTAGTGGCTTAAATTTGACCCATACCCACATGTTTTCCGATTGGATAGTCCAACATATATGGAACGTGGCAAATGGGCCCCTTGGTCAACTGACCAAAAGCTCCTGTATGCAAACATGGGTTTCCGCGGCTTCTTTGCAAGTGCTCCAAATCAGGGGCCCATTGCAGGACACCCAGGGCGGGGGTTGGAATCCCATGTTGCACGAGAAGTGGGGGGCGAGGTAGTCTCCCGTCTTGCGTTCGCAAGGCTTGGGGGGATGGGCGCAATACATGAAACATCCCCCCCCCACTGAAACATCGACCTCCCGCCCGGGTTCGGCATTTTCCTCTGGTCCGCCCTTCCCCATTCGGCAAAAAGGCCCGAGACTCGGCTAACGTGAGGTTGGGGAAATCTTCGTCAGACTTGGCCCTTTCCTTTTCATTCTTCCTCCGGTTTTCCACAGCTGCATCGGCTTGAAGAGTTGGCCTTTATCTTCTGTGGGACAAAAGATCGGTTTTCTGCCACCGGCTGGCTCCTTGCCTCACAGGGTTAGTCCTTCTCTTTTTGGAAATTTTGCTGGCTCCCTGCTTTACAGGACTATCCAAGCTTCGAGGGAAGCGGTGGTCCAGGGCATGTCGAAAAGGCGTAACACATGCAACGCACATCGCAGAGACACACGAGGAGGCCTCCGACAGGAAAAGGCTGAGTTGGCTCCCAGTCATGCGTCTTTCTTCAGCATCCATTCAGCTCTCTTCGCCTCTCTTCTGGATACCTGTTCCATCTCGGCTTCTGAAAGGGAGGGTTGTCCGTCTTTCTGGACTGACCTCCGGGATTCGTGCCAAGTAGACGAGTTTGTGCGGAGCAACCCCGCCCTCATTGAGTGTCAAGACGCGTTGGCATTGCTGTAGACTCATGGTGAATCTCGGGCTTAGCAAAGGCTCAGAGGGCCAGAAATCACCTTTACTCACGGATGCTTAAGCGCGTAAAGACCGTAGTGTGTAAGCACCGCTGTGCCATTGTTTGGGCACGGTGTCGTCCCCACTCAAGTAGTTGGTTCAGTTACCGCGAGCTTCTTTGGGAGCCATCAGTGTCAAGACGGCGGGCAACCTTGCTGCCCCATCTCGACCAAGTTCTCTGTGGTGTTTTGCGGATGATGGCGTGGGTGTTGCAACTTGTCCATGGGTCAGACAGCTAGGGCTTGCTCATCGTCGGTGGATCATAAGCTTGTGGGGGGCTATTGGCCACCTTGCGGGACGCGCCAGGCATCACAGATGGAGATGGAGTGACGAGGGCGGGGTTGACGAGGAAGGGAGTGACATCAAGCGCGACGAAGAGAACAAAGACGAGAGCTGGGACAGTGCAGGTAGAACTGCCGATGCCCGCAGAAAGGAGCGCCACCATGCTCAGGCGCGTGTGCCAACCTTATCGCGGCGCAAGGCCCTAAAGCCCGACGTTGAAAACCAAATGACCCGTTTCTTCCAAGACGCTGAACGAAGGCAGCGCGCAAAGCTCTCGTGCGACATCGTGCCAAAGTCGCGCAAAGTTCCACTTCAATACGCGCACACACACACACACTCTACACACACACCATACACACACACACACACACACGCAGACACGCAGCCGCACACACGCACACAAACGCGCGCACCTGTGCACACGCGCCCACGCGCCCGTGCGCCCACGCACGCACAGACAAGCGCCACACATTCAGCTTAGGCCGTTGGGAGCAACCAACTACAAGCACGCAGACATCCAGAGTCACCTCAGCGCACTGCCGCAGGCGCAGAGACACGGATAGCTCTACCTCCGATTGGAGACGCCCAGCCGCATCACGCCGCCCACTCGTTGGGCTCAAGCTCCTTGGCTTGAGGAGACACTGACGATGTTGCACACGCGTGTGCTTTAATCATGCTCACAGTCGCACAAGACACGCAAGGCTCACGCAGTAGTCGGCTGAGCGCAATCATAGCGTTCATCGCGCGGCAGTCAAAAGAGGTGAGAGACGCACGTGGTGCTTGCCCCCAAAAAACAAGACGAGATCTTCCTGTTTGGAGCGCACACCGTTTTGCAAGTTCGCCAGGCTTTTCCCAAAAAGGATTTGTTTGTGAGCGCTGAGGGCTGCTATCCTTTCCCCCCAACAAGTTTGTTTTGCGCAGAGCAGGTTTCTATCTCTGCACAGAAGTCCTATCTGGCACGCCGTGACATTCCCCAAGCGAACTATTTTCCCAGGATCGGCAACTTACAGAAGTGACAATCAAACTGCCCAGCTTGCCCTGTCAAAGATACAACAACAATCGCTTTACCTTTAAAGCCTGCCTCTGCAGGCAGACGCGTGACGCAAGCGCGCACCGTTTCAAGTAAATGCTCAGGCAAGTTTCTTAACTCAGCCAAGAAACGCTTGCCATGTGCGCCCTGCTACAGCTTTTTGTGACTTGATGGAAAACAAAGACAAACTGCACGTGGCACAAGCAGTGGCTGCGCCTGCTTGACTTAAAACTTCCATGCTCCTGCCCGACCTTGTGTTCTTCAAGACGCAAACGCCGAATTGCCCGGTATATATAGGGCTTGACTCTATCAATAAATTGCATGCCTTCTTTACGCGGGTGGGGCGGACTATGCAAGCTTGCCGACTCAGCAACCACCATGTTTTTGGTAATTTGCCCAAACTTGGTGGGTAATTTACCCCCAGTTCCTCAAGGAGGGCGCTCCCCACCTGAAAGATCCTTTGAGTCTAAAAATAGCCTCGGATGCGATTTAGACTCCTACAAGAATTTAGACTCAAAATGAGTCTAAATAAGGCGAGGCTAAATTTATGTTGAAACATTATTTAGCCTCAAATTAGCTTCAATTTAGTCTCAATTTTATGTCAATTGTCCATAGATTTTTGCTTGGAACCAACACTGCCAACTATTCGTTACTGCAAGGGAATCCGCACAAGCGCGCGCAAAAAATGGTATAAGTACAAGAGGGAAGCTTCGCAAAACCCACGGGCGGCCGGCAGCACAAGCGTTGGAAATGCTGGGCATGCCCGCAATACAAGTCCACATTTGCTATATGATCTGCGCACAATGCAAGTGGGAAGCAAACAGATGTTTCACACGTGGGCCGCCCACAATTCAAAACTGGCACGTGATGCAGCCCTGTAAACGCCGGCTCCGCACAGTACAAGCGTCCAGCGCATTTCTTTTTATATACATGAGTGGCCGGTCGCACAAGCGGCGGTGGCTGTGCCACTATACATAGTGTACATGTGGTGGGGGAGCTTATATAGCGACTCCGCAGCAGAAGTGCTGTGACGTGCACAAGCGGCAACATACAAGGCTTTCCACGGTATACAACTGTGAGTGTGGGCAGGTGCAGTACAAGCGTCCAGCGCATTTCTTTTTATATACATGAGTGGCCGGTCGTACAAGCGGCGGTGGCTGTGCCACTATACATAGTGTACATGCGGTGGGGGAGCTTATATAGCGACTCCGCAGCAGAAGTGCTGTGACGTGCACAAGCGGCAACATACAAGGCTTTCCACGGTATACAACTGTGAGTGTGGGCAGGTGCAACTGGCAGCCCAAAACTGTGAAGGCGCAGAGGACAAATGCAACACGAGCAGAAAGCCCTTCAATTTTGCAGCTGCAGCAGGTTTGACAAAAAAGGCAGACTGGCCATCCTGTACCTTTTAGCGGCCTTCAAGGCGACGCGGCCCGTCAGCAGCAGACCACATATAGTGGCAAGCCAGCCCATACTTTTCTGCCGCCTTCAAGGTGGCAGATACGTCCGTCCGGCCGCTCACACAGCTGCTAATCAAGGTGGAAATGCGGCCCATGAGGTCCTCACCTCGCCAGCACCAGGCCAAATGGGGATGAAGTTTGTCAGCCCATAGCGCGCTGTGAAGGCAATAGTGCAGCTTGGCTGACATATTGAACACCCGGACCTCCTGTGCAGCATAGGATTCTGAGAGCTGCACGTACAGCTGACCCAGCAGTCGTTGTTTGCGCACCAACTCTGCTGCATTCGGGGGCGGCAGTGCCCAGTACCCGTCGGCAGGCGAATGCGAGTCCAAGATCTCATCGCATTGCAGGCTGAGTTCCAGCAACAGCTTGATACGGATACCGTCCCGGGTGTGCAAGTCCCCATAGCGCTTCCACATCGCTATCATTGCGTCTCCCAATCCCCGAATTTGACCGGCTTTGCCGCGAAGCTTTGGAAAGTCTCGCTTCTTCACAAACATTGTCAGTTTGCGCAGCGTCCTGATGTTATATTCGTGGTAACTAAGCCCAATTTCAAGGTGATCAGGGTCAGTGGCTCAGGCCCATTTCTTTCTGACACACACTTTCCACGGTTTGTTCATTCCCTTCCTTTTCGCCCACCTGCAAACACAGTATCGCCACACAGTATCGCCAATATACAATTCAATTTAGTATGGGTAAAGAGTCTGCCCATTGTACCAACATGTAGATGCTAATTAATAAACAAGATGACACAACGCAATACTATATATATATATAATATATATATATAAATATTATAATATAATATAATATATAGTATATAGTATATAGTATATACAATATAATATATATATATATAGTATTTATAATATTACACATAGACAAATATATATATATATATATATATATCACCAACTTGTGTCAAAATGCAAATTGGGCTCATGATGCGAAAATCAAGTGGCCAAGTAGAAACAGCAGGGACCCACAATCAACAATTATGGTGCGATCCTGTTTTTGTATGATTTCATGTTTCATTTCAATAATTTGTATAGTATGCAAAATTATCTGTATATTCATAATATTATATATATATATATATTTATATTCTATAGAGGAAACTTACATACAGTACGTCAAAGATATGTGTATACTACTTAATTTTCAAAATATACGAGGGCAGGGTACTAGTACATATTCCTAATATAGTACACACATGGACATATATATCATACATATATAATGTACCTTTACTAAATATTTATATGCAGCATGATCTGTGTGTGTGTGGAATATGTCCCATCTTCAAAGCGTTGGTTACTGCCATTGTGCGGTTGCGTTGTCCCATGTTTGGGGTACGGGCTGCTGTGACCATCATAAGTATATGCAATCAAATATCATATGATATATTATGTCGCATTCTGCTGAAAAGTAAAGGGCAGCAGCTGCAGCAACTGCATCTACACCATCTTCCACAGGTGGGCCTGGCGTGTTTGAGCAGCTGGCTGGAGAGGTCGGGGCAGCTTGACAGTTGCGTTGCGTGTGTGGCGCTCAGGCGTTCGGCTCAAAATAAGTTGCAATCACTGCCAACCCATGCAAACGAGCAACAATCAATTGTCAATCAGTGGCAACAACTTTTAATCAAGTCCGCTGAATGCCCAAGCGCAAGCATGACGATGGCCCTTCTGACCAGGATGCAGTACTTCCAACCTTGTGGCTTGTCATTCTCAAATAGATGTTTGAACTGATGCAGCATCAGTGCTTTCGCAGCGAGTCTGTTGATTTGGCGTGGGCGTGGCAACTTGGGTAAGGACACCGTTTCCTCGCCCGTCAAATCTGGAAGAAATCCTTGCATGGCCACAAGTCCTTCTGAGCCGGGCGTGCAAATTTTGGGGAGAGAACTATGTCAAGAGGCACCTGCGACACTTGGATCCCTTGTCACTGCGGATGATTGCGCACATTGAATCTCATGCTCAATGCGTTAATTTTGCTCCAAGCCCAATAACTCAAGGTAAGGTGCGTTTCGCTCAACTCAGGACAAGTGAACTGGAAAGTGGCCTCTTTATTTAGCGGCGTGGAATGCGCATACGAAGCATTGATGGCACTGGACGCTGCCTGCTTGTATCGGTGGGGCTTCAACCTGAAATTTGACCATGGGCTAATGGCAAGCTTGCTGCATTGAAGGTGACCATTGGGCCATCCTTTTGAACTTGTTTCATTTCAAGGGGCACTGTTCAACCCAGGTCGAAAAGAACAGGTCGTGCCTCAAGGTCCTGCAGGAGAACTACCCTGATGTTTGCCTAGCTTCTGATGCTCTTCACTTGCTGACTGGCAAGCCATGCGACAACGAAGGAAAGGCCTTTCAGGCTTTAAAGCTGTCTGAAGCCTTTCTATGCCACACGCATAAAAAACAGCTCCTTGTCAGTATTAGACTGGATGCTTGAAGACGTTGAGTGACTTAACCTGTACGTTGCAATCTCTGCCCAGGTGCGCTGTGGACTTCACGCACTGTGTGGGAATCATCGGTGCCCCCTGTACCATATTTTCAAAGATCTTTGGTTGCAACAAGCAGAAAAAACGCCAAGCATAAAATGTTGCAGCTTAGGATGGGAAAGAGAATGGGTTTTGAAGACAGTTTGGTGAAGCTCCTGCATGATGTATCAACCAAAGTGATGTCCGCCACGCGGCTAAATATACATGAGAATGTGCTTGAGTACGACCAGGAGCGCTCTGAGAATGTGTTGCTTTTTTAGGCATGTTGCTTGCTTGGCTGTTGAGTTGCCCCATGATCATGCTGAAGGAGGACTACTTGCAGCAGAACACTGGCCACAACATCCAAATGGCAGTGCCCCACGGCACACAAGTGAACCATTCAGTCGATGAGAATGCACCATTTGTGTTTTCATTGCATGTAGCGGTTTAAGTCTGACCCAAACTAAGGCTCAGTCCTGAGAACCTTCAACTCGCAGAAGGGCCTGGAGAATCACACATGACCCCCGGCGTATGCGTTGGATGCCAGAGCAATCTTTCTCAGAGATGGCGTGTTTGTTTCTTGAGACCTGGCCCTCCCTTTCCCCCTCCTTGGCATCGCCGCTGGTGTACTGCCTGGCCTCAGACCAGCATCTTGCAGAGCCGGATGGGTTGTCAGAATGTGCAAAGCGACACTTGAAGCTTTATCGGGAGATGGCGCCGGACATGCAGCTTTTCGATTTGTCCCAAGATCCATGTTTCAGAAAACGCACAGAAACAAAATCTGGGCGGCTGATGACCTTGGCCTGCAACAGCAAAGTATGGATACTTCAATCAATTGGCATTCAACATTGTGCTGGTTTAATGCTGTGCTAATTTGCGTAACCTTGGGTTTAGTCCGGCCGGGCATGGCATCGTTATTCACTGTAGGTCTGAAGAAACACGCCGCTGCTTCACTGGCAAAGACTTGCTGATGACCCTTGGCTACCCCTGCTTTGCAAGAGCAGCAAACATGTTGGGCACCGAAACTTGGCTAAAATCGTAAATTGCTTGCGATATCCGGCCGACGCTTCAACCTGATTACGGCCTTGATGTTACTGTGAGTTACTCAGGATGCCCGCCCTTTGAGCTCTATCACAGATTCTGCAGCCGGCAAAATGGCTGGAAATGGTATGCACTTAGCGTCAGCAGGGTTCACACTCCTGATGGCAATGCTATGTTTGCGGGAGGTGGTTGTCGTTGAGGATGAGTAGCGAGGGTAAAACAAGAGCCAGCGCTTGGAAAGCAAACAACCCTTCAGCATTGAAATTGAGTTGTTGCAAATATTATACAGACCCGACCCTTACTTGTCTGCCTCGCCAGGCGCGCGCGCAAGACCTCCTAGCGACTAGCCCGGGATCTCAGCTGCCAGCTCCGCTCCATAGTGTTCTATTTTAGGTTCGCGGGTCACGCACAACTCAATGAACTGCAGCCTGGCTGAAGCAGCTGCATGAAACCTTTTCAGGATGAGGGGCCTGAAAACTCGGAAAGGAAACGGCGCCATGTCCAGGCAAAGACTTGCTTGTTTGGTGATGAACCTGAAGAACAGGTTCCTACGGGGCACAGGCCAAACCAACTTCCTGCCACTAGGCCCGCTTTGCCGAAGAAGCTAGCGCGTGTGAAATCTGTGGCGGCAGATGCCTCCTCTACACCATGTTTGTTTGGGGACGAGCCAGAAGAACATGATGGCGCACACAGTTTTCAGTGTGATCGGTCGGAGGGGGCGTCTGCGCCTGGTGCTACATTATCCACGCAGTCATCGCCCCAGGCCACAGCGGTTCTGGACTTGGACTGGAGCGTTCTCAGAACTTTTGAGAAGGCATCCTTCATGCGCAACGCAAACAAAGCGTCAGCTGCAGCTTCAAAGAAAAAACGCCCCTACAACAACAGCAGCCGGGCAGCTGCTGCAAAGCATGTTCGCCAGACTGGGGTCTTCAAGAAATCTGGAGGATCCCGGGATAGGGTGGCCAGAATCCTGAGTAGGAAACTGTGCCTGTGCTTCTTGGCAGAACACGTCAATTTTGAAGCTTAAATTTTGGTAATTTGTCTCGATGTGCCTTTATGCTCTTTCGTGGAATGCCTGGAAGCTGCGTCGCTCGCCTGAGGTGCTCGGAAGACTTGCTTCCAACAGATTCAGCTGAACCGCGCTCATGAGTTCATCAGAAGCTTTTACGACCTGCAGAAATGTGATCAAGATTCTCTTGCAACTTGGCATTGGCCTGGATGCTTTAATTTCAGGGTTCGTGGACCTGACTAGTTCAAACTCTATGATTGGAACGCAGGGTTAGAAGCTTGATTGACTGTGGTCAAAGGGATGTGGTTTTATCTGTACTAAGCTACTAAGTTGCACACCTCCATGCAGAACAACGCTTCTGGTGGGTCACCCCAGTGCACCTTCTTGGGCATGGAGATGGGCCGCAAATGCTTGTGCCTGTTGCAGGGTGTTGGGAAAGATCGACTTGCCCGAGCTTTGGCCATGAACCCAGACCGTCGCTATGGCAAGAACAAGGGCGGAAGCAAAGCTGCAACACACTCTGTGGATGCCTTCTTGGCCATGCTATATGAAGGTGTCGCTGAAACGCTGCCAACACAGTTTGTTGTCTTGATGCCAGCAAATATGTCCTTAACACCCTCCCAATCTTTGCCTTATTGTTCTCAAAATCTGCTGCCCCTTCCGCCGGTTCCACACTGTCAAGCTAAGGTTTGTGCGACGTGGGAGAGCTGCAGGCCAAGACGACGATGATTGGGACCTGGCTTCGGATTGCGAGGTGGAGGACTTGAAAGACTTCTTGGACTCGACATGCAAAGGGCTTGCTTGGGATTTGTTACGGCCGGGCGAGAAAAAACTCACCAAGTTCTTGCCCCCTGGCAATGTCATGGATTTGTTCAACCACTACCAAGCCACCCGCGCAATGTTTGGACTCGGGGCAGTGTCGCACCATGGCCGCCAATCATAGCACATTTGCATTCACCTCAACTTAGTCCTATTGTTATGGCATGGTTTCTGCCGGCTTTTGTACTTGCAGCCGGGGAATAATTTATGATTTCATCAAGTAAATCAGTGAATCAACAGTCTGTCCGTCCCAGGTACCCCACCTTTGCCAAAGTGTACAAGACCCGCTGGGCAGATGTGCTCAAGTTCAGAGACAAGAGCCTGCCCCTTGGCTTACATACCGCTGCAGCTACTATTATTATATTTGTCACCAGTTTGCCTCCACTGTTTTGCTTGAAACTTTCAATATGTGCCTGGGCCTACTAACAGTTACACTAGGTTCACTCAATGCGAGCTGTGCTTCCAGTTCAAACAACAGCTGGCCTGCAAGAGCGCAAGCATGGAGGTCAAGTTGGGAACCCTTTGCAAGTACAGGGAACACCTTGAATCTCAGTACCGTGACCGCGTCGCATGCTGGACCCTGCAAGAAGCTGCGGCAGATCCCAAGAACCAAGTGCTGGTTTTCCAACTTGATGGGTGTGATCAGGGCAAGTTTCGCTTGCCAAGAGATCCAGCCTTGAAGGCCACTGCAGCTTTGGCCAAGTACAACAGGCCCAGGTTGACCCTTCACGGAGTCTGGGCCTTTGGGCGAACCTTGCAGCTGCGGGTCCTTGATGAGCCAACTCGTCATGACAGCAGTTGCATTGTCGAGGCGATCGCTCACACGCTGGAGGAGGTCTTCGCCGAGGTGGAGAGGACACAACAGCCTCGGCCAACAAGCCTCGTGCTGATGGGCGATAATACTGTGCGTGAACTGAAAAATCAATTTTGTTTCTTGTACGGCGCCAACCTACTCGCTCGGAACAAGCTCCGCCATATATCCTTCCTTTTCATGAGAAAGTCTCATACGCACGATCGCGTAGATCAGCTTTGGGGAATCATCAGCCGGAGGATTGCCAACACGGATGTGCTTTTGAATTCCCAAGACACCATCAATACCATGCTGGACGAGCTCGCCCGCCCAGGTCTTCGCAACTGGGTGAACTGCCGCGCAAGTGTCACGAAGCTTGACGTTTGCCACTGGCAACCACAGGGAGTGAAGCTGGAAGGGGGCTTGCTAGAGGACTCTGGCGCCAACCATAGTTTCACGCTGCTCCTGCGCAAAGGCACAGGGTTGAATCTGAAGTAAAGACCCGCCCAAGTTGGAAGAATGTGTACAGTAATAATAGCTCCATTCCACTTCTTGGCATTGCATTGATGGGGAAATATAATTGTGCTAACTCATTTAACTGAGGGGGGCTTAATAGTGTGGGGCGAGGAGTTGGGTGCGACATGGAGTTGCTGGCCCCGAAATTCAAATGAATAGCGCCTTGTGAACCTAGTGGGTCTAGCGCATGCACAGTGTCACATAAGTTAAGTTTGGTTTGATTTGAGTGCGGCGGCAAAACCAGTGTGGCCATCTTTCTCATTCAGTGTTAGACAGTTTGTTTGTCGAACAATTCAATTATTATCGTGCTATATTTTTTGGCTTGGATGAATGTTGACCACCCGGCCCTGGCCAAGACCTGCCTGCCAACCTCAAAGTCAATCCTGGCAGCTTCCGCGGGGCTCAACTTGCAGGGGACGTGGTTTGCTTGACCAAGCGCTACATCTCAGATTCGACCCTTAGCCAAGACCCGCTGCTGGTGCTTCCAGAAACACGAGTTGATCGAGTCTCTATGGTTCCAACAGTGAAGCTCCTTTGATAAATGGCATCATTCTGACTGATAATCACTGATTATGTTTCAATGGACTGGTCAATGGACTGGCGTTAAGTTTGCAGCTTCAATTATCGTGATGCGGGGCTGCCCAATGCCAACATAGCCTACTGGCTTTCCCAGCCTTCACCTAGGCATCCAAATAGCCACACTCCGGCCCTCGCGAAGCAGTTGAATGATTTGGCAACTGCTGTCACAAGCTCGTACGGAGCTGCTTATGCAAGAGCAGTTTCGTATCTGCGGGTGCCCTTGATGCAAAAGCAATGATTGATGGGCCAGCCCAGAGTTTATTTATTCTTCAGGTTATTTTTTTCACGGGCCTATTGCAACCCGAGGATTTGGCTAACAACGCCTTCTATGACGCCACACCTGGCATGCAGGTGACGAAGGTGCCCGTGGCATTGGCGAACCTGAGTTCCAACTTCATAAATCTGTTCTGGATGCTCTGGCCCCTGCCATGCCATTGAAGGCTGTTTTCTCTGGGCAGCGAAGGGCGTGATTTGATTTGGAATGAGCGATTGGAAAAGAAGGGTGCCTGACACACGTCATTTGCAACTCAGCCTCATTGAATATCATGGACAATTGATTGTAGCAGACCAAGTCAAACCCGTATCCTCCCTTCTTTTTGCTGCAGCCTTTGCACTGAGGCCTGAAGCATTCTTCAGGGCGCAGGCCTGATGGGTGGACATCACTCATGACATCGGTAAAAGTTTAGTTTCTGATTCAATTACTGTAATTTGTTCAACTGTCAAGTCCTTGCATGGTTTGAGTGGCTCTGCCTTGACACTTGTGGGAATCAAAGATTTGCATTGATGATTGGTAGCCTCACTCACTCATTGGCTGGGTTCTGAATAGTATTTGAGGACATAACGCACTGCAACCACTAATTGGCAACGACGCTGTGTTAAATTCATGGGGCCCAGAGAGAAAAGTAATTATTATAAATTATTGATAAGTTCAGAAATCAGAAAAATATAATCTCAAACCAAACTCCCGAATCAGTTTGTGCCCCGCCAAGAATCATGATATCCCCCCTCTGATGCCCTGCTTCTTATGCTTTCTGCCCCAAATAGTTCTTCAAACACGCGGGAAGGTACAAGCTTCTCTTGGCGCCCGGCCTTTGCACTGAGCCCGTCCGGGACCTCAGCGCCATGATGTTTTCGGAGATGAAGGCAAAAGCCAGGTCAAGCTTCAACTTGACAAAAACAAGGAGTTTTGAATCTTAAATACTGCTCAATGTCAATGCCAATTCAATTGCCTTCATATCAAGTTAATAATAGGGGACATTATTATACAACATCGTGACTGAGGTGTTCCCGTCAAATCCCGTGTCACTTGCCTCTTGTTGGAGAACTTCGTTTGGCCATCGCGTCTCAATTTCTGCTCAGAGGTTTTTCGCCATGGGGCCACGAATCGCGCCCAAGCCGCGGCCCAGACCGATCCAGGTCAAGGCTCGGCCCAAGCATGTTGCGCCGAAGCCGAAGACACGAGGCTCGGCGCTGCCGGCGGGCCGGGTTGTGGGCCCTAGGCCGGCATGCTCCAGGGCGGCATGCCCCAGACCAGAGGGCCCCAGGCCAAACGCGGTGCCGCCACCCCCCCCACCGCCGCCGGCGCTGAAGCCAAGGCCACCGTCTGTGCCGCCGCAGCCGCACCACTATCGGCAGCAGCAGCAACAGCAGCAGCAGCAGCAGCAGCACCAGCCGCTTCAGAAGCAGCAGCAGTCAAAAGCAAAAGTGCTGGACGTGGAGGAGATAGAGGAGGAGATGGAGGAGATGGAGGAGATGGAGGAGATGGAGGAGATGGAGGAGATGGAGGAGGTGCAAGTGGAGCCGGATGAGTGGCAGGAGAACAAGAAGGAGGACAAGAAGGAGGACAAGAAGGAGGACAAGAAGGAGGACAAGAAGAAGGAGGGCGAGAAGCCGGAGCCGGAGAACAAGCCGGAGCCGGAGGACAAGCCGGAGGGCACGCAGGCGGACAAGCAGGAGGCGATCCAGCCGGAGGACAAGCCGCAGGACAAGCCGGAGGACAAGCCGGAGCACAAGCCGCAGGACAAGCCGGAGGACAAGCCGGGGCGCAAGCCGCAGGCCAAGCCGGAGGACAAGCCGGATGACAAGAAGGAGGACAAGAAGGAGGACAAGCCGGAGGACAAGAAGGAGGCGGTCCAGCCGGAGGTGATCCAGCCCGGGCCAAAGCCGGAAGAGAAGTCGGAGCGGGAGGACAAGCCGGACCTGGACCTGGAGCTGACACTGATCCAGAAGGAGGACAAGCCGAAGCGCAAGCCGGAGGACAAGAGCGACAAGATGAAGGCAAAGCCAGGACTTGCGGTGAAAGAGGAGGTCATGAGCCCCGCTCTGCAGTCAGCCAGTCCCTTGCCGCAGTCAGGGCCACACTCGCCAACAGAGTTGGTCTCGCCCACATCACCAGCGGTGAACCCGGAGGAGAAGCCAAAGCCCATCAGAGTGAAGAAGAAGAAGGTCGCGAAGGAGAAGGAGGAGAAGAAGGAGAAGCAGCAGGACCAGAACAAGCCGGCAAGTAGCAAGAAGAAAAAAAAAGAAGCGGACCCCGGACCGGAGAAGCAGAAGCAGAAAGAAAAAGGCGACCAGGCGCCGCCGCAGGGACAGCCGGGACAGCCGGGACAGCCGGGACAGCCGGGACAGCCGCCGCCGCGGCCGCCGCCGCCACCACCACCGGAAACGCAGCAGGAGCCTTGCGAGCCCTGCAGCAATCTTCGTCCCGGTCCTGACCGCATCCAGCAATGCCAGACAGGTGCGGGCTGTTTCCAAACCTGCTGCACTTAGTCTTGCTGCTTCCAATCCTTGCTATTTGTGTTCGGGTCTAATAAATAGAAAATGTTTCTTTTAATTTTAGTATTTGATGCTGCATGCTGTGGGTGATAATTGTTTAGGCTAGTGGGAGTTGTGATGAGTTGTGCCTGACAAGTTCTTCAAGAACCATATTATTTCTTTCTCACCAGGTCTTTCCAAACCCAAACTGCACGCCGAACACTTCCATTGATCTACTATTATTATCAATCTTTGGCATTCATTCTGTTCCCCTGGAGGCGTTGGCGACAAAGAAGGCGATGGGCATCGGCCGTGGCAAAGGCTACACCGACATGAGCATATAGTTTGAGCTGTGGTCAAAAGCTGGCAAGTAAACAATGCAACTCAGGAAAGGTCACAGATCAGATTTGACCACTGCGCTGAGGGCTCATGTAATTCTGGCTCATCGACCAGCCAGCGATCAGTGAAAAAAAACAGCTGTGGGGGAATCGCTGCTCAACTTGACTTGACTGTTGAATCTGAAACCTTCCACACTCTATGGCTTGCCAAAACCAACTGCTTATTATTTGGGGGGCAACGAACTTATTTGACTTTTGGCTCTACAGCAGGCTTCATTTTGGAACCATTGCAGGGCTTCCAGTCTCGGGTGTTGAGGCCTTCATTTGCAGGGGCACTGCGTGTTTTTCTTTTTGGGTGTAACTGTGAAACAGCATTAAGTTTCCATTTCCGGTGGCATTGCTGCAAGCTTCCACTGGCTTTATTGCATAATCTCGAAGGCTTCCTTTTTTGAGGGGCGTTAGGCTTGACATTTGGGACCACGAGATGCAATAATTGAGGGATTCATTTTTGGGGGGCGTAGTCTGGTAGCAGGAGTGAGGCTGGGGGCTTTCATGCTTTTGGTAGCCTTGCACGCTTAGGAAACTGGGGGGGTCTTTTGTCCAGCATCCTGTTGGTTGCGCTCCTTAACGAAATTATGTGCCTGTTTTGCAAACTTGTTATTGATGTCAGTCAAAGAAATCCCTTTACCTTGAACTCACGCACTCCGCAATGGATGAAATTGTTTCTAGGCAATAGCAGGTGGAACCACTGCGGCTTGCCTTTTGCAAATTTATGACTTCAACAACTTAACCCATGTATCCATTCAACGTGACCCCTGGGCCCTGAGTGGCTCTTGAAATCGATGCACTTCCACATCCATAACCTTAACCGATGCTGCACAGACTTGAGGCTTAAACTTAGTAGGCGAAATCTCGATGAAGTCCATGGCCCGCTAAATCGATGCACTTTGTTGGGGCATCGCCCGAAAATCGATGCACTTTGGAGTCATGGCCCACTAAATCGATGCACTTTGTTGGGACATCACCCGAAAATCAATGCACCTTGGAGTTCATGGCCCGCTAAATCGATGCACTTTGTTGGGACATCGCCCGAAAATCGATGCACTTTGGAGTTCATGGCCCGCTAAATTGATGCACTTTGTTGGGACATCGCCCGAAAATCGATGCACTTTGGAGTTCATGACCCGCTAAATCGATGCACTTGGGGATAGACTTTGCGTAATATCGATGCACCTTGGGTCGGAAAACCGATGGAATCGATGCACTCCCCGGGGGGAAGTGCATTGATTTCTGTGAACTCTGAGGTTGCGGCCGGGCCAGCTGAGCTTCCAGCAGGCTGGATCCTGGGAAACCCGGCTGTGCAGTTGACATTGTGCATTGATTTGTCTTGCAAAACCTAGACCTGAAATCAATGCTTTGCGCGGAAAAGTGCATTGATTCCCCACTCTGTAGCTACCTGTCATTGATTTCAAAATTTAGACCAGGCTGATAGATCAATGACGTGCCTGAAAAGCCTGGAAGGTCAATGCACTTTACGAGGCGAAGTGCATTGATTTAGGTTTCGGATTTTGAGAGTGAAATCGATGCACGTGATTATGTGTTGGACACTCGTCAGGTCAGCTTGCCTTCATTCCACTGCCATCATGTTGAATCTGAACATGATTCATAATCAGGAGCTGTTTGTGGACCAGGGTGTTGCTTGTAGCTGGGCTCATGGCGCAGTTGGCGCTGCCGGGCTGTGCTGCCGAGAGCAGAGTTCTTGTGCGAGTTCGTGAGAAGGTTCTCAAGGATGCCAAGGAGGAGGACGCAGGCCTGAGCAGCGCTGGATCTTCTCCCCTGAAGAAGTTTGCGACAGAGGTGGAGAAGAAGCTGAAAAACATGAAGGGCGACACTTCCTTTCTGAAGGCATGCCCGGGCAAAAGCATCAACATGTTTACAAATTTCAGGGAACCTGAAACTGTGCAATTCCGGTTTATGCTGGCCAGGACTGGTTCATGGGTTACAGTAGGTGGTGAGCCCGGTGACTGCCTCGAGCTGCATAGAGTTTGACCCAGATTGACCCAGTGTCAAAGCCGCTTGGATTCTAGGCCAGGCAAGCGATATGAAGTAATAGCCCTCTGCATCTTGGCAATATATTGGATGTTTGCATGATATCGATATCATATCTCTGTATTTGTCACTATTTGTATAATAGCAAGTATACATTATATTTATTATTTATAGTTAGTCATAGATATATGCAATAAGTAATTGCAGGTGCGTATTGCAATAGCTACTGTAACATGCACAAGAATTGTGCGATCGGCACTTAGGTTATGATGTAGCAATCAGTTAAGCAAACCCAGATATACTATACTATCAGGTATTGCTAGACACCTTGTAGTAAGTATACTAAAGATCATTGCATGGCCCGGCGTAGATTTTAGTAAATATTATGGTGCATGCCAAGTAGAGGGCTACAAAACGCAATGTTTCCAGGCGCCCTTTTCCTTGTTGTTTGCACTAGACTGGAAGAAACACGGAAAAAGGCGCGCCTTATGGTCTTCTATGAAGTGTGGTTAGTATAATATTATATATATATATTATATATATAAATATATTATAATATGTTATGATATGTATCATCATTCCCTTTTGCCTTATACACCAGCAACAATAACAACAACCATCACATCAACCAACTATTATAATGTCGTGTATACAATATATATATATATATGTTAATATCATTCCTTACTTGTCATCATATGTAGGAAATAACTAACAATAGGTATTACTTAGACTATGCAATTAGCATATTGTTATACATAATAATACACTCACTCATGAACTAAGAAAATGTTTTATGTTGCCATTACTACAAATATAACATACAATATATTTGAATGAAATATAGAGCCATACCTGTGCAAACATAGTTGCTATATAAATATAGTTGCCTGTGCGCTATAATTTGATATATGTATAATATATATATATATATATGCATTATAATAACGATACTATATATCGTATATATATATTACACATACAAATATTTTTATTATATATATATAATACCTCTTATACGTATATAATATAATATGTCATCATTAATAATATATATATATATATATTCTGTGTGTAATACAATTGGTTGATATATAGGTGTATTCATATTTTCGTGCATATTTAAACTGTTTACAGTATTATCCAATATGTTATATATAGACAATATATTATTCAAGATATTATAATAATATGTTATATAAATAATAGATATACCTTATATTATATGTATTGATAAATACATGATTTGTCGAAATATTAGGATTTATCGACCAAATTGTAGTATATATATAATATATTTAAAAGATATACATCTATTATTATTATATAATACAATATATTATATATAGATATATATATATTATTATATACAATATAATATTATATTATATATAATATTATATATATGTATACTATTATATCGAATATAATATATATATATATATAATAATAATAATAATATATAATATATATATATATATATATATTATATTATATAATATACATATATAAATATATAATATTATATATATATATTATAATATATTATGATATGTATATATATAGATTATATGATATTATATATTATAAATTACCATCTTTCACAGGCTACTGTGAACTTGCAATATAAAAGACGAAGCCGTTGCGCATATTATTCTAAAACAAGTGCTGCAGCAGCAGCAACAGTTGCGAGTATATAGTATAGCTTGCTCTGAGCCTGGCTGCAATTGAACACATATTGCATCCCACTACTAAGTTGGTTGCAGTAGTGATGACGGTATGGGACTGGTCAAAAATGCAGCCACCCTGCAGTACACGGCTTGCTTCCTGCCCAATTCTGAGGCAATCCTGGGGCACATGCAGCTCTTCCGGCAGGATTCGAACCTTGATGGCGCCCACCCTGCTCAGTTTGTGCTGGACGCGATTGGAACAGAGGAGTCAGCTGCCTCGATGGCTGCGGAGCTTGAGGGTTGGTTTCAGCAGTATGCTGAATATCGCCAATGCAGTGGGAAGATCTTCAAGAAGGTCTCTGAATGTGTCCGAGCCTCGTTACTTTGATAATTGTCTGACGGTTTCAAGGCAATAATCACACAAATGAGTCTCTGAGTCACACCCCACATTGACATGTCCCCTCCATCACTTTGTTGCCGAAGGCGGTGGAAGAAACCGCGGCCGGCGACACCCTGAAGTTGCCACTGGTATGCCTGAAGCTGCTTAGCTAAGTGTGTGCCGTGTCATTCAAGTGGCCTTACAGTCTGGAAGGTTCAAGCGTGTTTTTTCAGATATCATCAGGTTTGAAATCCCGGATGATGGGCTTCCCAGCATCGAAGACTGGTGCACATGCTTCAACTCAATGATCTTGGATGGGGTGGAGCTCAACAGAGAGCCGCTGGATGTCAACGCCCGGTCTTCAGTTGTTTGTTGTTTTGAGACATTCTGCAGCAACCATGACTGGCCCCAACCCCCAATGACGTGGCTCAGAACATTGAACATTCATGATGCATGATTGCCATCAGGTCACCTTCCGTGCAAGCCAAGGATGCTCGTCTCCTGTTTTTAATTTTTTATTTTAATTTCATAGCTGTTTGACGGACCCGTTGAAATTGGAAGGCGTGACTTTGCGAGAAGACTACTCAGGTCAGAACGCCATGAGCCTGAAGGCAAACTCCCTGGACTGTGTGAAGGGTTGGACAAGGGCGAGCTGCGTGGCGTTTGCGCTGCTTGCTGCGGCTGACATGGATGCTTCGGACGCACAGCACTGCGCGATGCTGGAGCCCCTGCACAATGTGTTGGACCGCTCCTGGTTGGTCCCTATGCATGAGACTTGGTTTTTGTTGGTATTCGCTTGTGAGTCAGATATAATATCAACAGCTAAATGTTGTTCATTTATCACTGACTGAATTGTGAGTTTGCAACAAATGACCATTTGCCGCTTCGGGGAATGCGCATTTTTTGACCACACCTCCTGGACTAAGTTGGCGTTTGGAATGGATGCTGTCGCCCAATCATTCAGGAATATGTCATTAAGCTTTCGTGGAAGCGAACGTCAAGCGCCATCACTGCTTCAAATGTCACTCCGATTCGCGAAGATTATGGAATTGCAGGCCTTGTCGGGGACCGCACCGTCAGGCAACACCGAAGCCCGCCTACACCAAGCAATCCTTGAGTTCAACTGCTCTGCTGGGCTGAATCACAAACATGCCCTCGACAGCGAAAAGGAGCGCTCGGTCTTGAACCTCATTGTGGGTACTTCGAAGGAGCTTCGATTTGAAAGCCGATTTGGATTCAATCCGCGATAATTACAAGCTCCGTCCCCATGGGAATCCATTGTTTGAGTAGTTTAACAGTTTCAGAAATTCATGTCACTTGTCACGCCTCCTTCAATGTTTGCAGGGCCAATGACTTTAAGTTTCCCAACTGACTAATAATTTACTTTGACTTGAGAAACATTGCCTCGAGGAGTGCCGCGACCTCATGGCAATGCATCTGCACTGGTTCAAATGGAAGGACTCAGCGCTGAGCGCCGATCAGCTTCGCTCCCAGCGGTGGCTCATCGGAGCCCGACCTAAGGGGGTCAATGACGGGCTCAGGGGGCCTCTGACAATGACTGCTGAATCTCAAGTGATGCTCATGGACTTGCACATCAAGTCCTTTGTGGCTGCGGGCAAACGCTTGAAGGCAAGTGCCAGGGCCAGGGTGAGACTGAGTCAGGAACAATTTGACCAAATGGCTGACTTCGCTGCCATGTTCGGAGCCCTGCGTGTGGCGGCCAAGCAGGCGAGCTCCAAGCCGGAGGTGGATGACAAGTTGATGCAAGCGTTCTACGCTAAGAAGCTTTGACATATTACTACGATGTGTTCAGAAGTAATAACAGTTGAACAACTGGGCTTGGGGTGAAACCAGATCGACCGCGACGTAGTAAAAGGGTTTCTGTCACGCAGCTGTCAATTTGCGTTGAACTATTTAATTTCCAGTCCCGGTAAAATTTCCATTGGACTGTAGCCTGTAACCAGGCCTAGTTCGGAGGGTTGGCCGATGTAAGGGACTATTGGCAAGAGATCGAGGCTGTGGTCAACTCAAAGAGTGCTACCTTCAGCATTCAAGGCCTTTCGGTGTGGCGGGACATCGTGGAGACAGGTCCTGAGCCCGCCGCGCTGACTGTGGAGGGCACTTTGGACCTGGCCGCTGCGGAGGAGGCTGTCGCTGCAACAAAGTTCGCAGAGATCCGCGCGAAGATCAGCGCAGACGTGCAATCAATGAACCAGTACAACGCCGAGAAGTCGAACTGCGCAAACAAGACCCATGTGCTGAAGGTGTTGCACGAGAAGAACCAGCAGGAGCAAGGCAAGCAGCCTCTGGGCAGCAATAATAAGCAAACAATTTTAGGAGCACGATAGAATAATAAGTTCTGTAACAGGGTGCTTGTGGAAGGCTAAGGGCGGATTCAGAGTTTAATTACAACATAGTGTTAATTGATGCCAATGCCCAACAATGATCTTGTGAAAGTAAATCATAAGCCGTCACAATCTGAGCAACCACTGACATCTAGCAACCCTCTGAAATCAACAAGAATTCACCGCGGGGTCACAGCGCAGCCTACTAGCCAGTCAGTGCTGGTGTTCATGTTACATGTGGGCTCAGCACCCTTATATTTTCTTCAGGCATGTGGATGCCCATATGCAGAACAACGCCTTCACAGCGCTGAGCTCTGACCTGAACCTGCCAGCCAATTTCGATCAGTTTTTGAAGGGCACTGCAGCAAAGCTCAAGGCTTGGCCTACAAACAAAATCAAATTTGATGTCATCATTCACCTGTGGTTTTTTGTTTCCTTCTTTTTTGATGCGCGTGAGCAAATTGTTGCAACACCGAATTGGCGTTCTCCGAAGGTCGCTTTCGAGAAACTGTGCCTGGTGGGCTACTTGGACACTACGAAGTTTGGTGTGCTCAGCCAATCTGATATCAACAAGGTTGGCCAATGGTGCGAGAAGGTCATGGCCAAGAATCCAACAGGCGGGTTCGGAAAACAGAACGACCAACCGCTGTCGCCAATCTGGCTAACTGAGGCAGCTGCGTCGTCCTGACGCTGCCGCTCCTCACATCCACTTCATCCGCTGGCGCTCTCAGAGCGGATGTCCGGAAACTGGACTGAGGAATAATAGTATTGAATATCTTTATTTATGTTTTTTATTTACATTGCCAAATTCCTGAGGTCCTAATTCAGCAAATCCCAGGCGAATTGAAGACAAACTGATCTCGAAGAACATTGAAATGCGCCCCTTTGTGCTGGCCACCGACAACTCTGAGTGTCACGCTAACCGGGATTCCCCTGCGGCCTACATCATGTACTTGTGCATTTGTGATTCCACCTTGCCAATGAAGGGAACTGCGCATCGGGTTTCAAGGTCCGCGGAACAGGCCATGGCTTTAGCCTTCATTTCATTTTGGGTGGCTTTTGAAACTTTGGCGTGCTACAGCCGCAAAAAACACGCACAGACACACGCACACACACACACACACGCACCAAATATAATGATGGACAAGTGACACATTGACCCTACAGGTGGACAAGAACAATGTGAACGTGTTCTGCACGAGCAAGCTGTGGAGCCTTCAAGCTGTCCAGGGCGAGCCTCCAAAGGCCATTCCGGAGGCGCAGTTCGTGGTCCCAGGTGGCGTCGCCTTCAGCAATGAAGCCCGCAAGAACTACACAGATTTGCAGGAGACAGCTCAGTGGCTGGGTGGAGTGCACATCCCCCGCAGCATTTTGAGTACGCTGCTGGGTGACTCTTCTAGCAAGCAATGATGGCCTTATGTTGAATTGAAATTGTAGCTTGAATGTTTGCTCTGAGTTGAACTGGGCGATGAGAAACAACACAATAATCACTAAACAGGTGCAAATTGAAATTAGAACTTAAGATGCAACGCCACGAAAAGCATATTCCGGCCAGCAAGCGTCATGCAAGGTGAGAACCGCACAGCCCTGGTTGTGCACGGCAGCTTGTATGATGGCTGCGTGGAGAAGGTTTGCCTCGACATGGGCTTGTCGTCCTTCTCCCACACGGATGACGCCAAAGCTTTTGGCACAGGGACAATGCTGCTGAAGACCCACCTCATGAGTTTGTGGAAGTCGCGTGTGGCGCCAATGGACCGCTACCTCCCGCGGTACAAGGCTGAGCCGGAATCAGATGCACTGCCAAGTGCTCCAGAGCAGCCGAAACTCAAGGTGTGCGTTTTTCTGGACAACTGTCTCAGCCTTCCACGGGACATCCGTGGGTTGTTCTTGGCAGACCCGATTCGGGGCCCTGAGTGGCGGAAGATCCTCCAAGAATTCGACCGCATTTTTGGATCTGGCGTGGCCCCCCCTGGCCCTGCTGACCAGGCAGCTGGCCCTGGCCCTGCGCCCAGCGCTGCGCCTCAGGCGCCCTTTGCCGGCGAAACCTTTTCAGAGGAGAATGTGACGACCAAGTTTACCTTCAGCCCGCAGTTGATGATGTACGTGGTGAACGGGGAGAAGCTCTTCATTGAAGCCACCGAAGAGGTCTCTCTGGCAGCCAACACGATGCTGCTCGCGTATGGGGCTGGCTCTTGGCTCCAAGACCAGCGCGCCTGCTCCTTTTTGGAGGAGAACGGCGGTGCCAAGGGCGTGGAGTGCGCTTTTAAGTCCGACCAAGTGAAAGTGGTTCTTGAGGACGGACTCGGACAGTGTTGTTTTGGTTTCAATCTTGAAAACTTGTCGCAACCCGTGGCCGCCTTTGGTTCAGTCCCTCGGCTAGCCACTGCAGGAGGAGGGAACCGATTCGGCAGTGATGTCACTTCGCCAGTGCCTTCAGCAGATTGAAGCAAAGGGAACGATAGACTTCACACTGGCCAGTCACATCCACAAACGGCCAGCAGCTGTCATTCAAGGAGTTTCAGCTGACATGCGCCTTGACTCATAACCCGAAATGACAAAGCGTGAGCTGGGCTGGGCTGAGCTGGTGGTCCGTCAGTTTGATTTGGCCAGCCCCGTTGCTCAGGTTCGAGGTGGAGCCCAAGCCAGACTCCTGCATGGTGTGGCGCCCGAATGCCATTGCCAACCCATCCAACGTCCGCGCAACGAATGTGGCTGGGTTCTTCAAGACGCCGCAGCTGGAGTCCAGCCCCGCGCTCACACAGGCGCATCCCAGGAAAATGATGTTCAATACAAATTGGATCAATTGAATGGTTTAGTTATCATTACAATGATATTATGTCAAAAGTTGTCAGTGCAAAGCAAGGGGGGGTAAGTTCTTTAAGACTCAGAGTGCCTCCTGAAGGGGTTTAATTGCAAGGGACACGCAACCAGTCAGTACTGCTGAATTCCGGGACTAGAATTTACTTTTTTGGCATGGCAGGTGTGGAGGCTCCGGATGTACAGCACTGAGAAGACCCTGGGAGCGGCCAAGCCGCTTTGGATGCTGAAGAATCCGCTGACCCTGGCAAAGGGCAAACAGCAACGCATTGTTTGAACTCCGTGTCAACTAAGCTCTTAGGGGCTGCTTTTGGGGATCGCCGCTGATAGACACAAGCCAAGTACCGATTCAATGATCTCATTGTTTCTATGGCTGGGGCAAACTTCATATCATGTTTCCTAAGAAGAGGGATTATTGCTGAGACCCCTATTTTATACTATACAGCCCTTGTTTCGGGGAATGAATTATTCACCTGGACGAACCATCACTCAGGGCGCCAAAGCCAAGTTGTTTTAATGAAGCCATTGCTTAGGATTCCATCGCGAGTCTCCTACTCAACCCCCTGACTCCTTGCAAAACGGTTCAAGGGTATCGTCATCTTTGTTTCTGCTGACTGCAAACTGCAAGCGACATCATCCCTCCCTCAACCAATAACAAACTACGACTGTTTACTGTTTCAAAGGGGCGGGCAATGTGACTTGGCAATTAGCGGTGTTTCACGGGGAAACGTTGCAACGTGATGGTCATGGGTCAAATGTGGAAACAAAGCCACACTCGGTACTTGAAGCTTTTGACCCAGACCTGGCTCCTTGCATCCTGCCATTTTGATTGCCCCAGCAGCTAGGTCGGGGCCCAATCCAGTGGGTATTTTGGTGTAACATGCGTGTTACGCCATAGTGACGACGTCTGAGATCCGTGCAGGCTGAAAACACACAGCTGGCTGTTGCAGTCGGCGCCTGCCAATGCTGAGCATGACTGGACCATGTGTGGCTCGGCAGGCTGCCATTTAAAGATCAAACTCAGGACCGCCATTAGTCTGCTTAGTAGATTGAATGCAATGTCCCAGAACCTTGAACTTCGAGAACTTGAACAAATCATATTGGATGAGGATGAATCTCAAGGAGTGGCGTTTGAAGAGCCACCTGCGCCAGCCATAGGGTTCCACACCATTGGCCACGGGGTGATTGTTCAACCCAAGAAGGCAGGCGCCGCCATAGGAATGAGCTTGAACTTGCTACCCCCTCGTTGGGCGCCCGCTGTGGACCCTGTGTTTGAGACACCGCCATCAAAGCGCTCTTCATCCCCGTCCGATACTGAGCTGTCACTAAACACGTTTTATTTTCTTGTTATCAAATTTTTTATTTACCTTCACCCTCCGAAGCTAATTCAACTAAATTGTTGTTCAGGCTGATGAAAGTAGCAAGTAAAGACCTTCAGGACTTTTGTGATGGCAGTGCTGCAGCTGCACCTGATGCTGAGACGGTTCCTGGTCTCATCAATACCCTGATCGATGAGACCCAGGGAAGCACGCTGCTTGAAGATGCCTACGGGCCTGAGTTGCCTGGCGAGGTGGACCCGCTGGCAGAGGTGGGCCCGGAGAAGGAGCTGAGTCAGCTTCCAGATGAGTCAGAAGGTGGCCAGGGGGCAGCCGCCAGCAGCGAAGAGCAGGGGCCAAAGCCAAAGCGCAAGCGCCTGAGGGACATGACGCCGGAGTCCAAGAAGAAGGAGGAGCAGAGGCGGGTGATGGCAAAACGTGCCAACAGCCTGGCATGGCATCAGAAGTGGGTTTCCAAAGGCGTGCAGAAAGATGCAAGTGCGTCTGCTACGGACAGTGGCGCTGAAGCTGAAGATGCTGGGCCTGCTGCCGCCACAGCTGCTGATGATGCTGGGCCTGGAGTCCCTGACATGCGCAAGGCTATGCAGGATTTTTGCAAGAAGTGGGTGGAGCAGAGCGACCTGCCAAAGGGGAATGATCGCCGTGAACGTTCTAAGCAAGCCTGGATGGAGAGCGATGTGAGGGCACAGTTGATGGCACGCCGGTCCAAGCAGCAATTCTAGGCTTTCAAACAAAGCAATATGTGGGGAAAAAACGCTTGCCTGCGAGCCGAGTCCTTGCTTGATACCCAATGCTTTCAATTATAAGGGGGGGTTGGGGTTTCGTTTGATTAGTTGGCATGGAACAAAGGGTCTCGTTGGATTCACTCTGGCCCGGAGCATGTGCACTTCCCGCCCCGGCAGGCCGGCCTGTGGCGCCACTGCTGTCGCCACGCCGGCTGCCGCAGCTGCTGCCGTAAATGTATCTATATATTACTATCTATATACAGTATAATAATATCTGTGAGTCGTTACAACATACTAATATGAACTATTATTTAAAGTGAGTTTCTTCTTTAGCCCCATGCCCATCATCTTTGATTCAAGAACCCCCCCCCCCGACACCTGCTCATGGGTTGTAATTTATGCCCACCACTTCCCGGAAGAAAAACGATGAGCAATGCAGCACTTTGTTCATTCTTTATCTTATCCCAGGACCATCATCTTTGATTCAAGAGGCCCCCTACCTGTTCATGGACTGTAACTTATACCCACTACTTCCCGGAAGAAAAAGATGAGCAATGCCGCCGCAGCAGTAGTTGTTTGTTCATTCTTTTTCTCAGGACCATCTTTGATTCAAGAGGGCCCCCACTTTCAAAGATTTCCTGCTCATGGAATGCAACTTGTACCCACTACTTCGACACACAATGGACAAAATAATCATTCCCAGATCCTCATTTACTTCTTATAGAATAAACTATGCATACTGAATATTGTTCTTTTACATGTTAAACAGGGAACAAGCAAGTTAAGTATTCATCCAATGATCGGCAGGCAGCCGTGTGCCAATTTTACCTACCACAGACCGCACATCATCTTAGTTTGTCAAATGGTATTGAAATTGATTATCCAGATATTGCATAGATATACTTGTGTGTGTGTGCCTCATATTATTTTGAACACTTGTTATAGGAGTAACTCATATGTATGTACTCACATATTCTGAAACGCGCTAGTGAAACCAGCTGCAGAATTTGAAACATGTAAGTATATTTTATGTATCTTAGACTGATCGTACAAACAAATATAATAATATATATATAAATAGATATATATAAGATATATATATATATATACCAACAATGGATCTACAATCTATTATTATTATTGTTATTATTATTATTATTATTAATTTATATATATATATATTAATATATATATATATTACATATAAATCTTATGTGGCACACACACACGCACATATATACGCCCACCATCACTCACAGTGATGTGAAGAACATGCAACTTCGAAAATTTACAATCAAGGGCAAGTTCTTTCTTGACATGATCATGGGACCTTAGAACAAGAATTGGATTGACATGCAGCATCATCCAACCGCACAACCCAGGCCTGATTACAATGAAATTGGGCTTAGTTACCACGAATATAACTTCCTGGCAGGGTAGCGCTCGCCATGTTGTGGGCGGTGGCGGTTCTGGAAGCTCATGATGAAGTTGGCGAGGGTCCTGAGGTTTTGCAATGGCGCGGCTGCCATGTGAACGAAACAGAGAAGCCAGAAGACGCTGCCGAACAGGTACTGCGCATACCCCAAATATTTGTTGTGCATATAATCGGGGAGCACCGCGATGCTGGTAAATCCGGGCATCTCGAAAAGAGGACAGGTGGAACGATTCGGCCTGCGAGCCCACGTCTCGGGTGTCCATTGGGTTCCTTCCCAGGGCGCGTTCTCTGAAAAATTCAGCCAAGTGAGAGGGCCTCGAAAGGTGGCACGGCAAAGTCCACAGGGCTCACTATGGGAGCTCCATCGTGGATGTCCCAGGAATTTCGCGCAATAATCTAAATCGCCGCATAAGCCTATAAGGCATGCAAAATAGCCGTCAGCAAGAGGCTCGCCGGCCCGATTCGCATCCGCAGAGCCAGGCTCATAGGCAACTCCCCGCCAATCCCGCCTGGGCCAGGTCCCTGCAAAAAGGGCAGAAAAGCTCCACTTCATGATGCGCATAAAAACGGCCACTGTCCCATCAGGCCCCTCAACCGCACATTGCGGAGCGTGCGCCCAAATCAAGTTCATTGCCTGAAGGGTCGGCACGCCGACGGCCATGACGGAGAACCAGGACAGCAGCAGCGAAAGCTTGCGCCATACCTTCCCCCGGCCAACCGTTGGGACTTCATCCCCGTGCAGCGCAATCGGCACGCACCTGGCCTCAAAATTGGCCCTTCGCAGGATTGGATGATTGGCAAGCTGTGGCATGCGCTTTCCAGTGGTCCAGAACTCCTGAAGAGCGTCCTCTCCGCCAGGCATGATGTACTGCCCGAAGGCCGCCCTGTAGTGGTGGTACATGCTGGCAAACATCACATGTGGGAGAAGGATACCGGCAGTCTCATCACCCTGCTTGGTTGGGATGTTCACTGAAAAGGGCATGGGGATGGACGGAATTTGCAAGTCATCCGCATAATGTCGCGGTAGCAGTTATTCAAGTGCCTGCCTCCAGATCCCAACTCGCTCAGCTTCCGCAAATCCACGGGGATATTTTCTAACAGAACCCCAGCGGCTGTCATGTCTTTCACTGC